AAAAAGAAATTATGAATAGAGAAATAACATATTCAAGGTTAGAAGAATATTTTAATGTATCAAAGTGTCAAGCCGACCAACCCGTATGGTTTGGGTTGGGTTGCATTTTGGTTTGAGTTAGGTTAGGTTAGGTTAAGATTTTTCAAACTGCAAGCATTAGGTTGAGTTGTTCAAATATCTCTAACGTTATCAACTCAACCTATGAACACCCCTATTCATAATAATAGAATAATTAACCCATTTAAATATAAAAAGCAACTCATAATATTAATATATACTCCATCATTATTTGTTGTTAAGAATAATTTCACTGAGATTTATGTATGGTTTGATTTTGTTTTTATTATTAAAATAGTTGACTTTTTAAATTAAAATAAATAAATAAAATAAAATAAAAATAATAATTGCTAGGTGGGATGAACACCAAGAAAACATCCATGTGACCAAGATTATGAATTTATAACCCCACAACCTTTTAAATACCTAATTCCATATCCATTATTAGATTTTGGTTCATGTGAGCCTATTTTTTTACACTTGAAACTCCACAACAAAACATTGTGAAGATAAAAAAAAACCGAATCTTCACAGCAAAAACACTGTAAAGGTTACCTTCACAACCATTTTGCTATGAAGTTTCAAGTGTAAAAAAACGGTCTCACAGATTTCACGCAAACATGTTGGTTTTTCGCGTGATCCCAAGTCTTTATTAGTATGTATTTATGTATGTAAAACTTGTACAAATGTATTTTAAATTTTGGGTATTTTAATACTGATATTAATTACTAAACTAAAAAGAAAGTTGTTCAGGATCTGTCAATTCTGGTCCGTCTAGCACTAGAGACCATAATGGTCCTATTTTCTTCCTTAAGACCAGTCTTATTCAATATTATCAGCAAATGCTGGACTGGCTTCATAAAGATAGAGTCCTAATAGACCAAAATATAAGTAGTTTATAAATATGTCCCATTCTTAATTATGTTACAAGTTTGTCCCCATTTCTATACACCCATTAAATGTGTGGCCAAGTAGTGTTATAGGAAGCATGCCCCACCCCACCCCCTACCATGGGGCATGGACCATGGTGTTGACCCAAAAATGTTGGTTTTCTATCTTAGTGATCATGTTCATGTGGCCAAATGTAACACCTTTTCAAGGTATTTATGTGGCTTTCAAATCTTCAAGTGGCATGTGGTGTGATCTTGTTTTTTCTCACTCCTCTCCTTATCATCACATTATTCCCTTGTTGCCTTTGTCTACTTAATAATGATATATACATATATATATATATATATATATATATATATACACATATATATATATAGAGTTGAGATTATGTGAGACCAAAATGTTTTCGTGAGACCATTTTTTTATACTTGAAACTTCACAGGAAAATGCTGTGAAGGTTTGGTTTTTTTTTACCTTCACGGTGTTTTACAGTGAAGTTTCAAGTGTAAAAAAGTGGTCTCATTAAAACAGGTTGGTCTCACGTGAACTCAGTCTTATACGTATATACACACACATATATATATAGACTTGGGATCATGTGAGACAAGGTTGTTTTTGTGAGACACGTGAGACACGATTTTTACACTTGAAACTTCACAGGAAAAGACTGTGAAGGTAACCTTCACAGTGTTTTTGCTGTGAAGATTCGGTTTTTTTTTTATTAACCTGGATATTCAATCCGTTATGCGAGCCGACTAATCCCAGAGCAACCATCTCCTTTGCGGGAAGTCCAGAGTCACCGCATTTGAACCTCCATGGCCACAAGGGGATTTTTATTCCTCCTTGGATCTGAACCTGAGACCTCCAGACACTTTTAACCTTTGGAGCCCAAGTTCAAACCAATCAGACACCACCCTTGTGAAGTTTCCTCCTTGCATTTATTCCTCCTTGGCTTTTTCTTATCTTCACAACATTTTGTTGTGAAGTTTTAAGTGTAAAAATCGCGTCTCTCGAAAACAACCTTGTCTCACGTGAACCCAACCCCACATATATATATATATACATATATACATTATATATGTATATATATTTGTATTGACAAGTGTATTTATTGTAGCCAAATAAATATTTTGGGCTAGGTCCCCATGTTAAAGTTGATGGGTACCCGTCACTTAATTTCGAATACGAAGTTTTTGGGACCATAACTGTAGTCTTTGGAGTATCTGATATAATAGATATCGTTATGATTTCGATCTTTTTATCAAATCAGTTTACCTTTTTTTTATGGGTTACGGTTTCGATCTTCTAAACGTTTTTATAGTCAAAATAATCAGATCTTGAAAAAAACATGTAAACTATTTAAACATTAATAATTTAACTAAATGATTATTTGATATTCATTTTGGAATTTATTATAATCATTTTGAAAACATAAATCCATATGTATTTTATGTCAGGTTATATTCGTTTAGTTAAATATTGTGCGAGAAGACGAGAAATTGCAATATCATATATGATTACACTCTTTTGTGTATGTATAATTATATATATATATATATATATATATTTAAGCATGTATGTGTTGTCAATGCAACATGTGTTTAATCGTATATGATTAAGATTGTATATCATGTGTGCAGTCATATATGATATTAAATTTCTTGTTTTCTCGCAAAACGTTTAACTTCTCGTTTCAACATGCCCCCGTATACTATATATATATATATATATATATGTGTGTGTGTGTGTGTGTATGTATGTATGTATGTATATAGGGGTCTAATCAAATGAGAATTTATTAATTTGTAGTAACCGTGAATTCCAATCTCAACCACAAATCAATAGATATATTAGAAAAATTATAATTTTGAATTAAAATTTTAATGCAAAGACATTTTAGGGTATTTTAAAATTCTTTTCTCTCCTCTTTTCTCTCCCCATCCCTTGTCCTCCGGGCTCCGGCCCCCGCCACCGTTCTCTGGTGATACCTCAGTGGTATCACAATGCATCTTATATGTGCTTGAGTATCACACTGAAGTTGTTTGTGTGGTCGATTGGAGATGTAACACAGTGGTATCACAATGCATCTTATATGTGCTTGAGTATCACACTGAAGTTGTTTGTGTGGTCGATTGGAGATGTAACACAGTGGTATCACAATGCATCTTATATGTGCTTGAGTATCATACTGTGTCTTTTGTTTAACAAAGTCAATATTTTTAGGTATCACCGGAGGACGGTGGCGGGAGGCCGGAGGACGGGGGACGGAGAGAGGAGAGAAAATACCTAAAATATCGTTGCATTAAAATTTTAATTCAAAATTACTAAAATTATAATTTTTCTAATTTATCTATTGATTTTTAGTTAAGATTGGATCTCACAATTATCACAAACTAGTCAGTTCTCCCTTACATGAACCCCCCTCTCTCTCTCTCTCTATATATATATATATTCATGGTATATGAAAACAAATGGAATGAGAATGGATATTGTTTGGGTGGGATGACGATGATGTTCCATAGATGTGACTCAATTTACACTCGTTATTATAAAGTTTATGATGTGAGCTTACGCTTTTACCCTCTTTAATTAATATTTATAATCATTACAATTTCATTTATTTTTTATATTTTTATTATAATATACATTTGATTTCATAATATTCATCCTAACAAATTTAAAACATATTAAATATTTTAAAATATAATTTAAATTATCGTATATCAAATTTTTATTATTTTTTTAATATTATAATATTTAAATAAATTAATAAATACGTATCAAATATGACCTAACATCATTTCTTTCCAACCTGTCAAAGAATCTCAACTTCTATCAACCTTCCCAATAATTTTCATGGTCTTTTCAATCACATATTTATATTAAAATTGTTAATTAATTATATATTTAATATTTTAGGCCTCAAATTAAATTAAAATTAGAAACCGTGAAAAAAAAATTAATATTGTTTTATAAAATATAAAATAAATTGCATTAAAAAGTAATGTATTTTAACTTGATTCTATTTTAAGTAACGTAATTTCAAAACTTATATTTTGGTACCTAAGATATAATGTTTTAAACATTTAAGTATCCGGTTGAAGACTAATTTTAGATTAAAAAAAATTATGTCACCAACCATGTCAGCAAATAATACTGAGTTGGATATCACGTCACCATGATAATTGGTTAATGATTCAACCGATTACACGGTTACTTAAATGTTTAAAACTTTACATCTTAGGTACCATAATATAAGTTTTGAAAGTACATTACCCAAAATATGAATTAAGTTAAAATACGTTACTTTTTCATGCAATTTGCTTTTTTATAAATGAAAACAACACATATGAGATCAAACCCGTTAAATGAACTAAAAACCGTTCAATGAGTTTGATTTTTAATCTGTGATTTATATTTTTTTTACAGGTTTTTCTTCTTGTGTGTTAGTATCAGTGTATGTTTCGTGTATAAACATATCTTTGTGTATTTTTTTATGTATAAACTGTTCTTTGACGTTTCATATATTAAACAACACATACAAACTGGTTTTACAGTTTGTAACTTTTGAACGGTTTCAATTTTATTTGACCCTTATTCCTTATGACTATATATTTTTAATAAATATACTAAATTTTTGAACAATTAAGCTAGAAAGTGAGTCGGCTTTCCAACGGGTCAAATATATTCACCTTATCAGTATATCAAATCAATGATGGGATCTGTTTGCCTCAATTTGGAACTGTTCTCGCGGCCCGCATCTAAACAGTGTCTGTTAGGTAAGAGGATAGCAAGTTATAAATTTTGTCTCGGTAGGACATGTATGTACACGTATGTTTATAGAGTCAGATTCATATGAGAACAACAACTACATAAAATAATATGACAACAATCATATCACATATTCACATGTGATTTTACACTAAATTCACATGTACAAAAACACATGTGGTTCACATGACTCCAGCCGCGATTTGAGGTTGCGCGTCGCGTCGTTCGCACACATTTGCATCGACCATAAGTGTATAATTGCATGTGATTTTACACGTGATTCGGCCGTTTTCGTATTCTTTCATCTGGTTGTTGTTTCTGATTTGAACCTCCCTCTATGTCTATAATTTTTAAGTTGTTTTATAGTAACAAAATGTATATTATTTTAAGAGTATCGTTTTTATAATCATATATAACATTACCATTCATTAAGACAAGTTGTTACACATACTTTAACTAATGAGTTGTTTTGTACCTCTTAATAGTTTCATTAAGATGTGAATCTTGTTCAACAAAAAAAAAATCTCTCTTTTAATGGTTTTAAAACCCTCTGAATGATTTTGTATTCTAGGTCTTTCCTAACCATTTAGCACCCTAATTCCATTGTAAACAATAACCAAACAATTATATTTTATTTTACACTGTATCATGAGAGCATCTTAATCATTCTAACCACGTAATCATTCTGCACCAAACCATTCAACAACTGTCAAACAATTGCAACAAATTTAATTAAATTTGTTATAAAAAAGCCGAATATTACATGGTACAACAATTGTGCTCGATTATATATATACATATAACATGTATATATGTATATATCATGTTTGGTACAACCACCAAAAACATGATTAATTAACCACCAAAAAACCAATTATCAAAACTTTGTATGATTTACAACAATTATTCACAAAGATATCGTTTACTCTCCCCTTTTTCCACTATTTCGGATCTTCATTTTGTGGGTCCCATCTTCGTTTCTCTTCGAAATTACATAAAAAAACGAACCCATAATCAGATCCGGTTTGGAACCTTCATTGATGAATTGAAATAAACAAGACCCACGACGGATCTTGTTAACCAAATCGTTTAAAGTTGACGATGGATCAACCCGTGAACCATAACAATCGCCATGATCAACGATTGGTCGACATCTGGTTCCACTGTTAACGTGAACACATCGTTTCCAAGATCTATCCCTGACGCGGTTTGCTTTCGTTTAATCTCGGCAACGAGAGCACCATCTCGATCAAGATTCACAATCTTGAACCCTAATTTCCCACCGTTTTTAACAATCTTGTAACCGCCATGACCAAACCCTAAATCTACACGAACGTTTCGACCGTGTCTTCTTGTAACACGAAACCATCGTTGTTTCTTGGAAAAATCCCATTTGTATCCGTCCCAACATCCAAAAACCCGTAATTTCTGCAATAAAAGAAACCCGCGAATTAGATCATGTTCGCTTTCAGTCAAAAAACACGGCGTAATCTAGTAAAAACATAGCGCGATTCATACCTTTTTCTGAATGGCGAAAAGAACGTTGCCTCGAACATCCATCAAGAAGACTTGTGAGCTACATTTCTTGTCGTAATTATCGACCCGATACACGATTTCGCCATTCGAGTTGTAAGCAGTGCATCCATGGCTGTTGTATACTAGAGATTTCATCCATATTGTCAAGCATTCTTGCTTTGAACTCACATATGATGATGATGATGATGATGATGATGATGATGATGATGATGATGATGAAGATGATGACGATGATGATGATGATGATGAAGATGATGACGATGATGATGGGGTTCGAGGATAAACCTTAGCCATTGAAAGGAGAAAAGCAAGTTCCGTTAGGACATGAAGGAGGGTTATATATACATATATGTAATATGTAAATGTGTATATGTATGCATATATATACACACACACACATATACATATACATACATATATATATATATATATTGAGAGAGAGAGAGAGAGAGACACCCACATGCGTTGTCGAAAAGCAGCCATTATTATTATTTTTGATGACAAATTTTGAAAAAAAGAATTCTATAATTAAAGTAATGATATTTAATTGATAAATATAGTAAATAAAAAAATGAAAAAAGTATTTAAATTATTATTTGATATTGGGAATTAAATTTATTTTCTTGTTAAAACATAGCATAATTTGGCATACAAAATAGAAATGTCATATTGGGATGATCCACCTATTAATTAAATATTTATGTTATTAATTTATTTATTATATTAATTTAATGTATTTCTATTTTAAATTATTGTATTGTTTATTTAACTTGTATTATGAATATGTAAATTATAAATATAAAATTAAGTACAAAATATATATTACAAAATTAGACACAAATTTAATGTATCAGGAGCTCTCAGGTTCAAATTCATGGAAAAATAAAAATTCCTTTGTGGACACGGAGGTTCAAATGCGGTGACTCCGGACTATCTGCAAATCAAGTTATCGCCCTGAGATTAGTCAGCTCGCATAACGAATTGGATATCCAGGTTAACTAAAAAAATAGACACAAATTAATACAATATGATTTGGAAATGAAGAAAATAATAATGTAAAATATATTTTGTAATGTCTAAACCACGTAAAAGTTAGGGCAAATTGTATGAAAAAGTAACGTAATTTAACTTGATTCATATTTTGGATAACGTACTTTCAAAACTTCTATTTTAATTGATGTGGTATCCGGTTAATGCTTCAACAAATAATACGGAGTTGGATATCACAGCACTCGCCACATCAGCATGATAACCGGTTAATACTTCCATCGGTTACCCGGATACTTAAAATGTTTAAAACTTTACATCTTAGGTACCAAAATGAAAGTTCTGAAAGTACGTTACTCAAAATAAAAATCAAGTTAAAATACGTTATTTTTTCATTCAATTTGCCCTAATTATTATCAACAAATAATGACTTCTTATGCATTAGTAATTTGTACATAAATACTTGTAATAATGTTACATTCTTGAAATTTAAATTTTTTATAAGTTTTAGTCATATTTTTATAGTATAGTACATATAATATTCCATAATGGTCCCACAATTTTCTATATTTACATATTGTATCCCTCACGTTTACTTTTTGACTATTTCATGCTACTTGCTTAAACTTTTTGTATATAAGTCAAAGTCCAACAATTCTATTGCTTTATTTTTACTAATCTCATGAACATATCAATTAATCAACAAGCTTAGGTGTGCATGCTTAATTAGAAGTATATATGACCTATTTTGATTATTTTAGACAAGGTTCTAAATGGTTTGAGACGTGATATGATTGTGATGTCAAGCTTCAAGCCTTAGGAGTCGGGACGTTTTTGAAAACGTGACTTATGGCGGAAAATCTATATACCTCTCACACACAGATATATATATATATATATATAGAGAGAGAGAGAGAGAGAGAGACAGACTTGGGTTCATGTGAGACAAAGACTTTTTTCATGAGACACAATTTTTACACTTGAAACTTCATAGCAAAACACTGTGAAGGTAACATTCACAGTGTTTTTTCTATAAAGATTCGGCTTTTTTTACCTTCACAATATTTTTTTTATAAAGTTTCAAGTGTAAAATTCATGTCTCATGAAAACAGTCTTGTCTCACGTGAACTCAACCATATATATATATATATATATATAGAGAGAGAGAGAGAGAGAGAGAGAGAGAGATAAGTGATCAAATGCAAATCACACATATTTGTACAAACTGTGGCAAACCACCCTCATCTGTCAATTTCATTGTTTAACTTTATGAAATTCTTTCATGAAATTGTTCAATCTTATGCAATTGTTTCATATAATACTTTTTTTTGATGAAGTTGTTTTATATATGGTCATGAAATTGTTTCATATATGGTTATGAAATTGTTTCATGTATTTCTCTAATAATTAATATAATGAAATTGTTTCACAACATTGTTTCATATAATACTTTTTTTTGATAAAGTTGTTTCATATATGGTTATGAAATTGTTTCATATAATATTTATGAAATTGTTTCATATAACTGTTTCATGTATTTCTCTAATAATTAATATAATGAAATTGTTTCATATATGGTTATGAAATTATTTAATCTTATGAAATTGTTTCATATGATATTTTTTTTTATAAAGGTGTTTCATATAATACCTATGAAATTTTAATGAAATTGTTCCATATATTTCTCTAAAATTAATATAATGAAGATGATAATATTAATGATTAACATCTTCCACAATAAAAATGATTTATCAACATCTCATAATTACAAAAAAAAAATGAATAAAATGAAAAATTATGATTGGTTGAATGAGTTTTGTACGGTTTGTACAAATAACATGGTTTGCAAAGTAAAACTTCGTTCTCTCTATACACACACACACACACACACACACACATATATATATATATATATGTATATTCATATATATGTTTTTTACTATTACTCAATCATATTAAACACTTTAAATATACTAAAAACTAAAAAGTAAGACTCAAAAAAGGATTTTAAAAAAAATCAAATACTGTATTACAATTTACAAAAAATGCTCAATGGGACCATGGCATATCACAGGTCTAACTTGGTGTCAGAGACGAACGAGCGTTCATCAATGACGTGTCATAACAGCTACAGTAACGAGTCGTTTAGAATACTGATTTTACGTATAGATTTTAGATACAACATAAAAAGTGTCAGAATTATTACGTTTCTTTATTTTCACACATGTGCATAGAAAAAAAAATTAACAACTATTATTTTATTTTCAATGATAACTAACTTTGTTTGTTTGTAGCTACTAACTTCTGACTCTTATTTTAAAGAATTGTCATAACTGTATCTGTACATCGAAATTGACCATTTTTCAACATAATCATGTAGATTGATTTGTATAGCTGTCGATTTTCGAAAAGTGGATTCGTGGTGATGTTAATGGTTTATATGTGTGCTAATCACCACCATATGTAATAGGGATAAAAAGGTAAAATCTCTATTAAAACAACTGGTGTTAGACATATAAACACAATCGAAATTGATGGCTGAATTTAATATGATCGTACAACCTTGTGAAAGAAATGTCCCAAAAACATTACAACCGATAACCCTAGTCGGCCCCACAAGAAATCTGTCTCCAACAACACCAATATGAAGGCATTTTTTGACAAGGCTAGATCGAACATTAAACGTGTGTTGTATTTGAATAAAGTTGTTTCATTTATTTGCCAACTGAGTTACATATTAAGGGTGTGTTTGGTGTCCAGACAAGACAAGACAGGACATAACAACTGTTCAACGTTTGATAAGATAAAACTGGACATAACATAACAAATAAAAATGACCAATTTACCCCTGATGAGTTGTTTATTTTAATTAATTTATGTAATTTATTAAATTATAATAGAATAATTATTTTTTATAACAAAATATATCATTTGAAGTTTTCGTCAAAATAATTAAAATGACGCCAAATAAAAAGTATATGTAGTTTTCTATTTTTATTTTTTATCTCTTTTCTACATTATTTTTTATTATTAATATATAATAAATTACGTTAGTTAATAAAAACATATAAACCGTATAAAAATAATATTTTGAGGACATCAAAATGAAAGTTTAAGAAACATAAAATACAATAAATAAAATTTAAAGAATGAATAAAATGTAAAAAAGAGACATATTTGATGTTTTAGAAGAGAATTAAGTTTTATTTTAAGGTTATATTGGTAAAATATAAGTCTGTTCCACCCTGTTCCATGATGTAGGGGTGGAACAGGCCTGTTCCACATAAAATTCATGTCAAACATGAGACAAGGATCCCTGCCATGTTCTGTCATGTCCTTGTCCAGTGTATCAAACGCACCCTAAGGGTCTCTTTGACTCATGATGAAGAATGAAAATGGGAATGAAAATGAAAATGAAAATGAGAATGGATTTTCATTCCTCTTAGTTTAATCATGAACAAATTTTTGGGCTTCTAGGACTGAGCCCATTATATTATAGAAACCAAACAGTTTTTTTTTTTTTTTTTTTTTTTTCATTCTCATTGATTACTGCTTAATATCTATAATCAAACCTCTCTCAGATGTTTTTTTTTTTTTTTTT